CTGTTGTTCAGCATCTTAGCTGTGGAGGACAGTGTCACTGGCCCTCATATGTGGGATCCGAACCGGGGTCCTCTGGCGTCCCAAGCCAGCTCTTAACCAATGCGCCACTCAGCTGGCCCTCACCATATTTTTTTATCACACCTCATACTTACTAGCTGCCTGCCAGTTAATCTAGGGCTCACCATAGGTAACAAAGGATCATTATTTAATTTACAAGAAAAATTATTCCTGCTTTCTGATTCCAAAGACAAAGGATAGTGTAATTTAAGATACTTTTTCAAGCAATAGGGAATACCCATTAAAATCAGAGTCAGCACTATAAAGTCATGAATATTTCTGAATAATCTTAATATTAAAAAAGGAATTCTCTTTGGTATCTATAATTCAAGGAACTGGTGCAAACATACTACCCACACTTGCTTCCCTCTCTTCCCACTATTATAGAAATAAACTCTTACCTCAGGGGTATCTAAGATTTGTTTAACTTGCAGGATATTAGTAATATGCCAGGTATACTTGGAAAAGGTTCCCAATGGCAAGGCATCTTTTCGAACAAAAGCTTCAATGTAAAAAGAGGACAAAATTAGCCTACTAAAAAATAACATTCTCTTTCATTATTTGTTACCCAGTTTCTAGAGAGTTCAGTGCAGTGCTATTCTTTCCTTATAGAATCTCAGGCTTTTAAAAAAGAAATTCTAGAGGCAAAAATTATTATTAGGGTTTGGCAGAAATGTACAAGTCAAATAATAAGAATTTCTGCTATATAGTCTCTGATGCTTCTTTGAGATGCTCCTTATTTTTGGTACGTTAGAAATTTGTTTCTTTGTTTGATAAAGCTACATACATAAGACTCCATTATAAAACAGCTTTTTGCAACCTCTTACAACTTTAGATATATCAGAGGTCAAATTATAGTCCTTAAAATAATTACATGTGGTTTAAGCCTGCTAACATGGTTGCCAAACCATTGCCCTGCCTGCAGGATTATAAAGTGGTTCCATTGAAAGCCTGTGAAACTAGCTAAGGGATGGGTTAAAATTAATGTATTAGGCCTGAAGTTTAAACTGGAAGAAAGAATCAACACTGCCTCAAAAGCCAGATAAATAAGCTGTGAAAATCATAGCCCTAAACACAGTGACTCACAGCTTCCACTATTCAAAAATAGAATTAAAGTTCAAACAGTCCCAGTGTACTATTATATCATCAAATAACAACTTACTGAAGAAACAGCACTGATTTCTAGCTGTAGTTACTCTTGTGCTGTTTGTCACTGAGCAATCCTTTCTTCCTCCTTTTTCTCCCTTATTTCCTTACACTATCTAATAAGTATTTTGAGATCTCTAGTAGAAAGATGTTATATAGAAATCAAGAAATAAGTATCAAAATAATGTAACGATAAAGTGTTCCAAGCCTAAGAATCACTCTAAAAATAAAATCTTCCTTCATCAAAAATTGGGAATTATGAAAAATAAGTTTTAGTTTTTGATACATACTGTAATATGCTTCCAAGAAGCCAGCCCAAGTAATGACTGGAGGCTGCAATGCTTTTGTTGAAATTGGTGTATATCTAGAAAATATCAAACTTCTTGGTGGGCACCTCCATTGCACTTCATTGTTGTTCTTACTAGGCTGCACTTTCTGAATTGTTCCATTAATTTGCCCTGGAGTAAGTATGGGGCCTTTGAAGAGAGTGACCACTATTCCAAAGCTGATTGGCTAAGGCTTCATGCTCTCAGCATGTGACTAGAAGTCCTAATCCTGAAAACCCCACACAAATTTTCCAAGCATAATTCTCTAAGATCAAAACATCTTTTGCTATTCCCGATGAAAAAAAAACCCCATACCTGTGGTGGAGTTGGGAAGCCGTTTTTTTGTACTTCCTATAGATATTCTCTGTTGCAGGGCATCAAAAAAGGACTGAGGAATGTGGAACACCAGTGGCTCTGGTTTACCTTTAGAAAATAAGAAGAAACTCATTTAAAGAAACGCAGTGGACTTTCTGATGTGTCGGGAGAGGTGGAAGAAATGGAATTGAGGCACAGTTGTGACTAAAAATACCACTGCGGCCGCTTTATACAGAGGCAAAAAGGAGGCTTTGATTGACCTTTATGAGTCAAGCACTGTCATCAGCCCTGCTTTTTTTTAAGCCTTACTCTTGATCCCTTGAGATCATAAAAAACATAACAGATCCTAGTCATTCACCAAGGATAACTTTTCAAATCCCCAATTTTGTAAACACCAACACAACACAAACTTTTCCCTTGAAAGGGAATATGAAATAACATGAGAACAATGAGGATGGGTTGAGACAGCAAACTTGACTCACTCCAGCTTACTGTCCCTAGGCACCTGCTATATGCATTCAGGTCTAAGTGAAGTCACTGTGTGCTCTCTCTCAGGTGGTCAAGATTCTGAAGGCCAGAGGCCCGCAAAATCAGGATGCTATTTATCCAGCAAACATCAGTCTTTCTCTCTGAATATGATCTCGAGGCAGGCGAAATGTTTGAAAATACTTAACAAGCCTCTTAAAGAAACTTATAAGACACTAGGACAACAAAAAGTCAATAGAAAGTGTTCAAGGGAGGGGTGGAAAGAGTTCCAAGTTTTCCTTAAAAACTCTGGGGAAGGGGTGCTACCTAGCCCCAGCAGAGGGAAAACACCCAGCAGAGTGGCTAAACATATAGCTTAAAGAATGTCTCTGAAAGACTTTTAAAGACAGCTCAGATGCCTGGAACAAAGGTCAAGCCAAGAATAATTAAAATGAAACGTTTTTTAGAATTCCACAGAGAGACTTTACATTCTTTTGATTGGTTTTGCCTTACTTTATCGAACGCAGAATGTTGATGACAAAACTGTCACTGCTTTTGAGGCGCTAAAGTATTAATATCTGGGTAGTTTTGAGAAGTCACTACACAAAGGAATTTTAAAATCTTTCATCTTGAAATCAGATTATGGGATACACAGAGACCATTATAACTCTAAAAGAAGTACTAACTCACCAGAACTCAGCTGATGTGATGCCAGAGCTTAGGTTTATAAATTAATCTTGAAAAGCCCTCATAAAAGAGACAGACTCACAGTCCAGGAGAGAGCTGATGGTGACTTGGACAAAGGTGATGGTAATGGAGATGCTGAGAGAGGGTGGTACAGGAATAGGATGGAGAAGGACCACAGGGTAAAGCTTACATTATTGTCAATGTTCTATTTTCTGTTTTGGGAGGTGGCTTAGTAGATATTCATTGTATTATTTCAAACAATAAATATAAAATTTTTAAAGAAAATAAAAACATAGATTCTCTCTTTAACCTTCCTTAGACTTTTATTTTTCTAAAAAGCAAGTTCTGAAGTTTTATTTATTCTGAATTAATATAAATAAAACTAAACATATGTTTTAAGGTAGCCATTCCTTGGGAGAAGATATTTTCCAACAAGATATCTGATAAGGGGTTAATATCCAAAATATATAAAGCGCTCATGCAACTCAACACCAAAAAAACAAACAACCCAATTAAAAAATGGGCAGAGGATATGAAGAGACATTTCTCTAAAGAGAACATACAGATGGCCAACAGGCATATGAAAAAATGTTCAATCTCACTCTCACTAAGCATTAGGGTAATGCAAATAAAAACCACAATGAGATACCACCTTACCCAGGTCAGAATGGCTATCATCAATAAGTCAACAAACAACAAATGCTGGTGAGGTTGTGGGGAAAAGGGAACCCTGGTGCACTATTGGTGGGACTGCAGATTGGTGCAGCCACTATGGAAATCAGTATGGAGGTATCTCAAAAAACTGGAAATGGAACTACCTTATAACCCAGCAATTCCATTTTTAGGTATTTATCCAGAAAANAGCTGTAGAGGGCAGTGTCACTGGCCCTCATATGTGGGATCTGAACCGGGGCCCTCTGGCATCCCAAGCCAGCTCTTAACCAACACGCCACTCGGTCGGCCCAAAATTAAGCTAATCTTAATGCATCAAATTCCACATGCTGAATTTTCTACAATGTTCTGTTATTGTAAGAAGGGAAAATCCTCAAATTTTTAGGGTCTACTTAAAAAAAACGTTTAAAAAGGTCTAATACTTATCCTGTGAAAAAGAACCAAATTAATTAAGGGTCATTACTCAAATGAGAACTAAATTGCAGTTTGGGGGGTAGTATTTAATTGTACTGGGCCGACTGACTTCACTAATAGTATATCATCTCAAATTAATTATATACGAGGTGTGATCACAAAATACAATGAATGTTTAAATAAAAAAAATTTATTACAGTAAAAGATACATTGCCATTAATTCCCCTCAAAATACTCCCCCTTGCTTCAAATACACTTATCACATTGTTCTTGTCACTTTCTGAAGCAACTCTGGAAGTCCTCTTTCGTGTCTTTAGTTGCGCTGTTGTGGCTGCCTCGATGTTCTGAATCGATTCAATATGTTTTCCTTTCATTTTACTTTGGGGAAAAGCCAGAAGTCACACGGTGCCAGATCTGGTGAATAAGGTGGATGAGGACACACTGTAATGTTTTTATTTGACAAAAATTGCAATACCAAAGCAAAGTGTGACAGAGAGTTGTTGTGATGGAAGATGAAGTAGACACTCATGAAAGAGGACTTCCAGAACTGTTTCAGAAAGTAGCAAGAGCAATGGGATAAGTGTGTTCGAAGTGAGGGGGCGTATTTTGAGGACAATTAATGGCAATGTGTCTTTTACTAAAACAAATTTTTTAAAATGTAAACACCATATATAAATTTTTAAATTTTTTTTTTTAATTGGGTAATTGGGGGATGGGAACAGTGCTGGGGAATTGGGGGAAGGGGAACAGACAAGTTGCTGTCCTTTTGTTCTTCAGTCTAGTTGTGGAGG